TTCGTTTGAGTTTGAGTAGCTATGAACTTTTCCATCATCATTTCGAGGTTTGATTTCCTAGGTGCATTCTGAGCAGCTGGTTTTTGATATCCTTGCGGAGCAGTAGGCATTTGCAATGCATTTTCGCTTTTGTAAGAAAAGTTTGGATGATTTCACCAACCTGGGTTGTATGTATTTGCGTAGGGATTTCCTTGAGCATAATTTACCTGGTCTGGCGGGATTCCGGCTAGCAATGGGCATTCGGGTGCATTATGAGTGGTGCTTCCGCATAACTCGCAATTTGGAGTTACTGCAGCGACAGTTGCAGTGGGGTTAACGGTCAGACTATCAATCTTCTGTGCTAGAGCATCTACTTTAGCATTGAACTTTTCAAGGCTGCTGATTTCGTACATCCCACCTTTCGCTGAGGTTTTCTCATTTGGAGTGCGTTCACCTCCCCATTGGCAATGGTTTTGTGACATGTTTTCTATTAATTGATAGGCTTCATCGTATGGCTTATTCATAAGTGCACCGCCCGCGGCAGCGTCTATTGTCAATCTAGTATTGTATAGAAGCCCATTATAGAAAGTATGAATTGTCACCCAGTCTTCTAGACCGTGGTGAGGACATGTTCTCATCATATCTTTGAATCGTTCCCATGCTTCGTAAAGAGATTCAGTATCTTTCTGTCGAAATCCGTTGATTTGAGCTCTAAGCATAGCAGTTTTGCTTGGTGGAAAATATCTCGCTAAGAAGACGTTCTTCAATTGCTCCCACGTCGTAACGGAGTTGGATGGTAACGATTGTAACCATGTCCACGCTCTGTCTCTAAGAGAGAATGGGAAAAGACGAAGTCTTATCGCGTCTGGAGTTACTCCATTTGCTTTCAATGTGTCTGCGTATTGTACAAACTTCGTTAGATGTTCGTTCGGATCCTCAGTTGCGTTTCCTGAGAATTGGTTTTGTTGTACAGCCGACATCAATGATGGTTTCAGCTCAAAATCATTTCGGGTAATAGCTGGGGCAGCAATGCTACTTCTAGGCTCCATCTGAGATGGTGTAGCGTATGCCTTCAGCAGTTTGTTCGGAGGTCCTTCAGCCATCGTTGGTTCTTCTTCGGATTTGGGAATGGGAGTGAGAGGATCGGGAATGTTATGTTTGAGTTGGTACTCAATGATTCGGCTTCTTAGATGTAAGAAGCGTTCTAGTTCTGCGACTGAAGGTTTCAAGATATCACTTTGTGGGCGATCACTTGGCATACAATCGACAGCAGTAGTAAAGGAAAAATGAAAATTGTTTACCTAGACTATACGGTGTAACAGAAGGTTACACTATTGACTAAACGGGTCCCCGGCAACGGCGCTAAAAACTTGATCGCGACTTTCTATGTCTAATACAACTAACTGCAAGTGTACAGTCTATCGCGTAGTAATAAAAGATATCGGTCCCACAGGGACTCGTAATCAAACTAGTGTTCTCGGGAGTTACTATGTTTAGCTAGGTAGAATATGTTTTAAGGGAATAAGATTGTCACTAAAAGGGGAAACTAAGATTACTATTTAGATTTTAATTAATTGAATCGATACGTAGTAATTGTGTTCTTCAGGGATTTGATAAGTTACTGGTGTATGAAATAGTTTTCACAGTTCATTTAAGCAGAAAATGGAGATTTGAAGACTCTCGTCTCACAATGGTTATTGACGCTAATCATAATCCTAAGGGCCTTACGTACACTTTCGTATTCCGTTCGGGGTTAAAATTACTTTTTGGAAATCTCTAAGTTCTAATTCGTTTTAAAGTGCTTTCGCTGTTATTAAAACAAATGCCTAGTGTTTACTATCTGACCTTACCGCAGCTTTCGCTTGTTGGTTCGTATCTTAATTAATTTCCCACTTTCGTGGCAAAACTACTTTAAAATAAGTTCTCGCTTTCGCGACGAAGTTTATTTCGTAAATCAATTTTTAAACACTTAGACCATAAGTTATTTTTGTGAAAAGAAAGTTTTCAAACAAGAGTTATCAAATCCCATTCGAATTATTACTACATATCGATTACCTAAGTTTAGCTCGACATGAAATTTGGAAAAGCAAAACATAAATAATAATAATAAATAATAAATTGCATTATGATAAAATAGAAGTTGATCAAAATGAAAACCTGTAAATAATGCCAATTGGCCTTTGGGCAGATCCTCCACAGATGTTGGCAGGATTCTGTCTTTAGTTCCAATTCGATCGTACAGTGCAGTAACAATTACAGAAGAGCGGAAATGGGAATGAGTAGAATGGAAAGGGAAATAAAGGAAAGGGATACAAATAAAACTGGAGAAATGGATACAAATAATAACTGAAAATAAATTTGTTCTGGAAATTAAATTTGGCAGCACTTCGTGGTATGAATGCAGCTCCCTTTTTGAAGTCCCCTGCTTCCCTTTTTATAGAAGTGGAATTCCAACGGTTACCTCTGAGGATGATGGACCTTGAGGCAGATAATTTAGGGAGTAGTGGACCATTTAATGGGAATTGGAACTGCTCTTTTGACGTGTAATCTGAGTGGGGCGTTTTTGCCTGCATGACGGTCGTCACAAGGTGTGACGGTCGTCACCCGTGTGACGGTCGTCATGCATCTGTGACGGTCGTCACATCAGCAAAAACTGTCTGTTGCGCTTTTCATTGTGTTTTCACTCCTTTTTCGTCCATATTTCATATGGGATTGCTTCTTTTCTTCATGTTGCCTTGTTTAGACGTGATCGTTGAATACCTGCAAAAACATCAGACAAATACATGGAAATAACCCGAAATCGGATCGAAAACGGTTAGGCTTTAGTTGAATTATGCATGAAAATATCTATATGATTTCGTGTTATCAGATTCCCACACATATCTAACCATAATCATTGAGTTCTACACATTTACACTAAAACTCAAAATTTATCCAAAAACTCGAAAATTTACTTGAAATTTTATGGTTTTGATGATGTTGAATGATGTTATTGATGATGTTTAATGTTCCTTTGATTCTTGTTTGATGAAATTTGATGTTGTGAAGAAGTTGAAATTTAACGTTAGAAGAGTATGAAAAGAGTTTGAGAGGTATGTTGAGAAGTGTGAGGGAGGAGAAGATCTAACATGAGTTAAGCATCAAATTATTTCAGAAATATATCTCCGAAATATTTCAACGTTCACTGAACTTAAAATACATCTGAAAATATATCTCAAAAATGAAAAGACATATGTAAAAATTCACATGCTACACTAGAATCATATAAGGTGCAATACGAAATTTTCTAATTTTAACAATATAATTTGATCCATAGCTAGCTATGTGGTTCAAATTCAAACCAAATTTGTAAATCTTAATGCAATAAGAAAGAGATACCTCTCATACCCCAAACCAAAATCATCTCAATTTTGTGAACCATTAATATTGCTTCAATGCTATGACTGAATTGAAACTCATTTCAATGAACATGGCAAAATACTTTTAAGTTTAATGACTACGCACATTGTGATCATAATGCTCCATATAGAAATTTTAAAATCATCAATGCAAATTCATTAAACTATAATCTCTTTTTTTTGCTATAAGGATCTATTTGGTTGGGGTAAATGGAGGGGAAGAGAGGAGAGGGGAGGGAATATTTAATAACTTATGTGTTTGGTTCAAATTTTAAGGGGAGGGGAGTTAGATGGAGGGGACCAAAATCCCTCATGAACCACTTTTTCTTCCTCCCGATTTGGAGGGATTGAGAGGGGAGGGGAGGTGCTTGATTTTAATTATAATTATATTTACATATTTACCCTTATTATTTATTTAAATATAAATTTAACTTATAACAATATTAAAAGTTTTATTTTGAACAAATTTAATCTTTCTTTTTATATTTTTTGTATTTTTATATCTTCATCTTACTATCATTATATTTGTGTAAATTTTTTTTTTATTTTTCATATTTTAATATTAATTTTAATTGTCGTAATGTTTTTGTTTATAATAATAGGGGGACCAAAACTGTGATTTAATCAATTATATATTATAATCGTTGCATTTTTATAAAATATTTCATTATTATCTCTGATTGAATATTTACATTGCGTCAATAAATTTGTATTTGAATTATAAACGGTAAATATTAAGTTTTATGGTAAAATTAGAAAGATAAAAAAGTAAATTAGTTTTAAAATACCTCCCCTCCCCTTGTGAACCAAACATATTTGTAAATAAAATATTTCTTCTCCCCTCCCCTTTCATATTTTGAACCAATCCCTCCCCTTCCTTCCGCTCCCCTTGATAAAAATCCCTCCCCCTCTCCTCGATTGAATCAAACAGACCCTAAGAGAATCAAGAATTTCTTAGTATTTGATGGGTTACCCATGATGTGAGATTGATGATTAAGTTTCAGGTAAGGGTGGCAACAGATCCACTAAGCCAATATTCATTCAAATGATTCATACAATCCTTCCACAACATTTCACTACATGAAAAGTTAGTATTATCAAATCCATCCATTTAAATATATGAATGTATCCATTCTATCCATCATATTTGAAAGATCCAATAGATTTTTATTGTTATCTATTTTAAATCCTTTGGATAATTTTATAATAAACAAATTATTCAATAATAAAAATGTTAATGAATTTGATAAATTTTATCTTTAATGAATGGATTAAATTAAATTCTAAAAAAATAATTAATGAGTTGTTAATGGATTAATAGACTACTTTGATCTATCCATTCACAGCTAAACCCATATCCCTCCTGTCTATCAATTTTATCACCCCGAATTTGAGGTCTCCAACATGTACTTTGAAGAGACACCTTATATTTTGTTTTTTTCATGAATGAAAGCACACCAAGTTTACATTCCACGGAAAAATATCTCCGCATTCAATTTCGAAAAGGCATAGAAATGACATCAGAAAATGAAGTTAAGACATTCATGATGTTTATGGTACCCTCACTGTGCTTTTTTTCAGCATTGGGGGGCTTCAAACAAATTCTAGAGTACAAATGACATTTTACATGTTTGAAGCACTCAAGGCCATCATCTTACACTGTTCATTCAATGCCAGAAGTTGAGCTTCTTTCTTGTCAAGCAAGGTACTCAGCTTCACATTCTCTTCCATAAGTTTCTGAACTTCAGCTTCTTTCTGCATTTTCTCACCCTCCAACTGGGTAGTCTTTCCAACTAGCCTATGCTCCAGAGAAAGAAAGAAAAAAATCATGCAATAATTCTAGATGAAAATAAACCTTCTGTATGAACACTGTAATTAAAACTAATCATCACTAGCATAGAAATGCATGAATGCTATTGTCTACATGTTGCATAATCATATTATATAACAGAAACGCAACAATTCACCAAAAGAAACGTATAGTTATGAATTTAAGATAGGTATAAGCACTTTAGAGAACCCAAAATTAAAAGTTAATTATCAATGATGAAGAACCAAGTCACTAAATATACCCAAGTCCTTATCAAATTATCTGATTCAAACAATGGAGAAAGGTAGCTTGAACAAGGAGAGACGTATTGAAGAGCATACACTAAGTCATCTTTTACTATGATAAACAACAAAAATATAATGTTCAAATATGTCAATCGAATAAAAACTATCCAAATTAACGAGTAACACATTAAAACTATATACGCACATGAAAACACCAGAGCGTAGACAACAAAATACATTGTAAGCATGTCAACTTCCAACAAGGTGATATTTTTGCACAAAACAACTCATTAAATGATCTTATGTCATTGATGATTTGGAAATAGTCTTGTAGATGACAGAATATGGAGGAAGGCCGAAAATCCGCAATATAAACATCCCATTGCGGCCTCTGATGCCGGCATGGCGGGCATTCCTTCATAAACTGCCTATGGCAGATGTAAGAAAATCCGCCACACCATTCCACCAAGGCTGTGCCATTTCACAATACTGTTTAGAAGACAAACCTAGAGAAGACAAATTGGACAGATAAGAGTTACTCTCTAAAGCGCTGGCGCTAATAAAGGAGTACATTCCCTTGACCTAATCAAAGGATGAGATTTATTTTCAAATATAAGTGTTGTAGGTAACTCAATCATAATTTAGAAAACTACATTTGAGAACTACTGACCTGTTTGGCATGGTTGTGAACTTTTAGATTTTGGTTTTCAAATACAAATTTGAAAAACCAAACACATTTGAATAAAATAGGGTTAAGTTGATTCATAACACAAATTTTGAGACAAGTTTTTCTCAGCTTTAAAGAAAAACAAGCACTAACGAAGATTGGTCTTTTCTCCTTCAATTGAGTTCCGCCTCTGAAGGGAAATATACAGGCGGAGTCTGTTATGCGAGCTTCTAACAAAATGGACATATGGTAGCATGAGATTACAAAACAGAATCATGACGAGGAACATGAATATAAGGCGAAATAGAGGAAGGAGTGGGATGCAGGCAATCAATTCCCTGTCATATTCCATCAAGAGAGCTTATACTAGAGAAAATTAAATTTAGTATTAAAATGAAGCCGAGAAACTATACCCACACAACTAGGTCAAACAATCAGATGCAGCTGAAAAACCAGATAATTATCAAGGCATTTGCATACGACAATTAAATGTTTAATGAAATAAATATTTACCGTTCAAACAGCTTCTCAATAGTTTGGAATTGCTTCTCTGAAGATAGTAAAGTTTCTCTCACTGTGATTAGACTACTGACATATGACTTGAGAGAAACAAATTCCTGTTTCACTCTACAAAGCTCTTCTTCATTTTCAGCAGCTCGCTCTCTCTGTCTAGTTGTTTCTTCCACCAAATCCGCAACTCTTTGCCTCATGTCATTCAAAATACTATTTGTTCCCAAAGCAAAACTCTCCATTTCTTCCAATTTCATAGACAAATTCTCTAACTGAGCAGACTTTCGCATAATTTCTTCCTGACCTAAACTTACTTTTTCCTTCTCAATTGTTGTTTCCGATTCTGCCAACAAAACCCTTTTGACAAGCACTTCCATCACATCAGTGACCATCTGAACAGAGTTCAACATCTCACCTATATAAACCGCATCTTGTTCATCTAACGAACCTTGGTGACGGCTAATTCCTATCCAAGATTCTTCTTCATCTTTCCCATCAAACGAAGAAAGATCAACATTCCTAGACCAACCCGATAACGGAATCCCGTCTTTATCAACAAGCCCTACTCCATCTAATTTTTTTATCCCACAAGACGTATGCGCTAGATGAGGAATGGCCATGATTCTAGCTTTTGATTTCAAGTAAGTAAGCAACGTATTAGTAGTCCTTACTCTTTGCCACAAAACCTCTAATTCCTTTTTCGAGTCTTCCTCTGATCCATGTATACAAGCCTTTATCTCCTTAAGCTTTTCTTGCAATATATCAACTTGAGATTGGTTTCTTTCCATCCCTTCCTTCCACGTTTCATGTGATTGACTCACCGGAGACTTCAAACCCGACATTGCAACATCTTCACCCTCTGCCATTTCCTGTCAAATGCAGCATAAGATAATATGAAATTCAACATTTCAACTACATCCTAAAACATATGCATCAATATTTCAAAAGGCAAAAACCCTAAACAACCCTATTCCAACTAGAAATCCAAGTTAAAGCTCCACCAAGAACCCTAAAGTGAAAGCACAATTCATAAGAGAAAAAAAATCATCTAGACATTAATCTTATAAACCCTATAACACGATTCACCAATTTAACAACTAAAGAGAAATCAACGCACGATCAAATCAAAGCAGTTTTGAGATGAAATTCCACCAAACAAATGAACTTATAGCCGATCTGGAAGAACAAGGGTTTGAAGGGGTAACGCCGTAGCAATCAAAGTCAAAAAGAAGAAAAGGATAAAATTGAAGTCTTAAAGAAAGAGATTTGAAAAGTAAAGAGAATATAAAAGAAGGAAATCATAGAGAACCTAAAAAGGGCGAGGAAGAAGACGATGAGGGGTGTATGGTGGATCGAGGTGGTACAATAGCAAAACGCTCGTGCCTATCTTTCTCTCAAGTAAAGAAAAAGAAACATCACAACGCCTGTTTGCTTTATTTTTTGTTTGCCTTTTTTATTTATTTCTTACCTTTATTATTCTCTTTCTTTATAATTTCACTTTATTTATTTTTGACTAATCAAATCCAGTATAGTTTAATTTGTTTACATTTTCAGAAAAACATTTGACATTTATTTATAAAATTTACACTTAAAAATCATATTTTTAATTAAAAATATGAATTTAATAGATATATATATGACAGTATAAAATTATTTTACATTATTAATTAATAAAAAATTATCTATTATATTATTAAAAAAATTAAAATATAAATGTGATGTGGTAGATATATGATTTTTATTAATTAGATATTTTACGTTGTCAATATATCACTATAATCATTTTTAAATTTTTTAGTTAATTGTTTGTGATTTGATAATAGTGTAGTTTCTATAAATATTAATTAAAATTTTAAATATATATATATATATATATATATATATATATATATATATATATATATATATATATATATATATATATATATATATATATATATATATATATATATATATATATATATATATATATATATATATATATATATATATATATATATATATATATATATATATATATATATATATATATATATATATATATATATATATATATATATATATATATATATATATATATATATGAATTCATTTGAATATTAGTTTTGTTTCAGTATTTTATATTTAAAAAAATTATTTAAATTGCTACATACTTTTTGTTAAAAAAAATTCTAATGAAAACTTAATTTAAATTGCTTTTTTGAGAAGATGCCTTGTTATAATTTTTTCAAGATATTAAAATTTCAAAAAGAAAAATTAAGTTATTTTAAATATTTTTTTAAAATTATTTTAAAATTATGCCATTTTTTATTATATTTTAATTTTTAACAATATATTAAAAATTAAAATTTTTTAATTTTTAATAAATTGTTAAAATTTAAAATGTAATAAAAAATGACATAATTTTAAAATAATTTTTAAAAAATATTTAATGTGAAAATAATGAAAACAAGTGATGGTTTCGAAGATAATGTTAGGGATGGTTTGATTGAGTTTGGAGAAGAAGTGAAAAATAAGGAAAACCGGCCAATGGAAAATGAATGAAAAAGAAGAAAAAAAAGCATCACGTGTGAAGATATATATAAAATGAACTTGAAAAACATAAATAAGCTCTAAAATGAATTTGAAAAACATAAATAAGTCTTATTTGAAGGAATATAATTAGGGTGTTTCATTTGAAATAATAGGTTGATTATGTTACGTATATATGAATTTTAAGACGAATCCGTTTTGAATTTGACTGAGAAAAATTTATTTTGACTGTGTTCAGATTTGAGTTTGAATTTTTTTTCGATTATAAAATATTATGACGGATTGCGTAATGGAAATATTAGTATTCATCTCGAACTCGTCACTGAAACCGCTTCGTTTATTTTATTATGTAAATTATTGTTGAAATTTGATAGTTTAGAATATTAAACATTTGGATAATGTTTTGCTATTTTGATTTGTATTTATTATTTAAAATATATGTATTGAATTTTTTGAAATTGTTTTATTTTATTATTTGTAATGTAATTTGACGTATGACATTGTTCTTGTGCAATTTTGTTGTTGTAGCCTATGAATTATAGAGAGTGAGTTGATTAATCTTGTGTGTTGTTCATGATTAATTAAGCTCATGATAGCAATCAAGAACCAAGACTCATTTAACCATAAACTTGAGAGAACCTTGTGTGTGTGTGTGTGTGCTCTTCATTCACATTCTTCTAATCCTGTGACTAACACCTTGTGTTTTTAGAGCATTTGTGGGATATTTTGGCACTGTTCATCATCTTCATTCGTAGTCTTTTTTCCATTGTTGAGGACCTTCATCTCTAAAGATTGAGTGTTGAAAGATACTAGTGGTACATTATGGTACCTAATAATTTTGTGTGAAGTTTGTTGTTTGTAACAGGTGCATGTATCATTTCTTGAATACACTTTGGTCTTTATTTTGTCTATCAAGGATAGAGTTTCAATATACTCCAAGGATGGCAAGATCAAGTAACAATGGTCTGTAAGACGGAGTTGGAAGTTGTCCTTCTTAGGTGGCGTTGAAGAAAGATAGCTTGCAGAAAAAGTTGGGAGTTGTTCAATATGCATATTTATGACATGTCGGTTTTGGTAATCTACTACACACAATCTCCTACTTTGTTGATTACAAATTTATCCTCGTATTGGTAGAAAGATGGAGATCAAAGACACACATATTTCATCTTATGTTCGACGAATGTACCGTCACACTAGAGGACGTGTACATATCATTGGGTCTACCTATCGAAGATAAGCATGTTAATGGTCGAGTTAACCAAGACAAAGCAATATGCAAGCAACTTTTGGGTGCCGCTTTATTTGAAGACATGACAATGGGTCAAAGTATTAATCTAAAGTACCTTAAATAACATTATACATATATGATATTAACCGAATATTCGACCGAGAATGAAAAAATAATTAAAACTCGGTGTTATATTATGATAATATTTGGTAACTTTTTATTTCCTAAAACTACTGGTAATATTGTAAATATTATGTATTTATATTTGTTAAGAGACATAAATAAAATAAGAACATATAGTTGGGGTTCAACTGTTTTGTCTCATCTATATAGTTCTTTGTAAAAAAATGCAAATAAGGGTACTTGTTTGTTTTATTCTTGCATTTTTTTCTCCAAGCATGGGGTTGGTCGAGAATGCCGTCACTAGCCCTCGTCAACGAGAAAGGCTTCGCATTCCTCTAGGCGAAAAAGTAAGTTTTATCATTATTACCACTTACTTAATTTATGTTGGAAATTTTGGTGTGATAATCTTGGATATCTTCGAGGAATCGTGTTCGTACACTTTCCGAACAAAGTATTTCGACCCTATTATTTGCCTGAGTTCACGAAATCTTTATGGGGATAATTCTTTGAAGAACAATTTGTTTCTAGCAATAGAAAGTAGATCAAGAATATAGAGAGAATATGAATTTTGTTCAGTGTAATGAAACTGAGGCCAAATGACTCCTTATATAGGAGATTAATTAACAGAAAACGAAAAGGGACATTTGTTCAAAATTTTTGAACGGGTTCATTTTTTCAAATTTAATTTCGAACGGGTTCAAAACTTAACAGAAAACTTTCAGAAAAATTTTTGCTCGGGGCGCTGCCCCGCACCCCAGGTCAGCGGGACCCCAGCAAGAGGCTCCGCCCCTTGGAACCCCTTTTCAATTATTCGCATTCAATTGTACGTTGGCTCGACGAGCATGCACTCCGCACTACCCTAACTCGTTCCAAGCTTAACGTATAATTGCATCGGCCTACAGTAAATCACATTACTACTAAAATACATTGATGATACTAAAATCACCAACAATTTATACTATAAATACCTATAAATAATTTGTTTTCAATATTTTCAGTTTAGGCGGTCCGTTCGAGTGATGAACTACAACAACATTATACCAAATCCAACAACATGTCAACCCACCCAAATCCAACAACCAATCCCACAATATTACCATACCACATACACCTAACAATCAACCAAACATGATTACGAGACCACGCACATCCAAACCCACAACCAATTCATGTCACACATCCAAACACAAAATCAAAAACATGACCCATATCACCAACAACCATATGCCGCCACCACATCTTACCATAGCACCGATGAGGCATATGATACCACTAGATCCTACCATAGCACTCAACCAATGTACATCCAAACATCACACCGCCAAAGCATCAAACTAACAAATGTCTTTCAAACAACACAAGAACCATTGTTACGTTTCCAAAATGAATCAATGTCTCATTTGAAATAACCAGTCTACTTACACATAATCCAACCAACACGACCCAACTACGAAAACATAGGCACATGACTCAATTACGGCAGTGCAGGCTATTGTGGAGATATGATTAACAATTTGTTAGATAACACTAATATACATAGAACCTCGCACCAAACACCTTTGGCTCATGAAAATATTAGGAGACTCCAAACACCTCCGAGAAATTGTTGGAGGCCTCGACGGCAAGCGAATGTTCTGGGTTATGGAACCTATGAGCGTTTCAATCGAGCGGGTCATTAAAATTCTCTCCAATCATTGTGTAATTTTATTTTATGGAATAATATTATAATTTAAGTTTTACTATTTAACATTTTTTATTTTGTTGTTAATATAATTTTAAAAAATTAATCAAACACAACATAGGTGTCATCCCTCCCGGCGCATGTTTTTATTGTCATCATACATGTGCCATAGCCATTGGCATAACACTACTGCATGCACCACAGGAAAAAATGCCTAAAACCAATTTAGAGTGCATGCATCACAGGCAGTGGCGCATCCTCTATGTAACAAATATTTTTTTTTGTTTGAATTATAGTTACTT